CAGAGCTCGCTCGTGGGTCGCCAAGAACAGGGGATTTCTTGTGTCCTACCGCAACCTCATGTTATACGTCTTCCCCATCGCGACAACGGTAGTATCCTTTCAAGTCAGCGATGTGAACCGGGCAAGCCTCCTCGTTTGTATCTCGCCGAGTAAGCCTAGACGTAAGACACGACGCTCGCGTCTTTTTACCTTGGGTGCCCTTCTCACCTCGGAGCAAACGATGCGGCAAAACCACTAGCTGCGTTGCTCTAAGCGTGAGTTTCCTTCAGAACAGGCAACGATGGCGTAAACCTAGTCCATCTTTAGCGCAAGCGAAGGGATCCAAAGCCTTTGGCGGGACGGCCAAATACCATACCCGCGTTCCGCAACGGCTACATAAAGCATGTGCAACTCGATGTAAGCGTCAGCGTCCCGTTCCGTCCACGTGCATACGAGCTCTAGGGACTGCTCGGTCCTCGGAGGGGGCGGCAGCTCGGCGAGCAAGCCCGCTTAAACCGTTCACGCCTCAAGGCAAGCTGGACAACTACAAGCCACCTAAATGTCTACCGCCTCATCCCCGGCCAGGTCGTGAAGCGACATAACTTATCAAAAGTCTTGCTGTCACTGCCACGACCGGCCAGAGTGAAGCCGAAAAAGTATCCTATAAAACATTTCGTAGCTTTCTCGGAACGACCCCCCTCAAGGGAGTGTCGTCCCTCTGCCCTTCGTCGGTTGTTGGAGTGACGCGAAACAACTAGCCGTCTTGGCCCAGCGGTTACAAATCATACTGCTCCTTAACTCGCCTGCCAGCGTTCCCGGTGTCAACTGCGATTTACGTCAGTTTACCCAACACCCGCTGACAATCTCGACCTCCAGTGTTCCCGGTGTCGGCTGCAATTCCCGCAATCTTTCCGACACCCACTGACAAAACCCCATCTGCACCCCGGGCCTCGACAAGCGCTTGCTTGCCTACCGCATCATTCCAAGCCTAAATCCTCAATATGGAATAAGTCCTGGCTGTGTTCCCTCCTGCCAGTCGCTATCCTGCCTTCCAGCGAACATGCCGTGGATCTCCTCTGCCTCCGAAGACGACTTTCTTACATCTTAACCGCGCTCCTCGTGTTCCCCCCGGTTGGGTCACCTTCTGCCAACCACTATTCTGGGGTACCCGAGAACGCGCGTCCGCAACCTCGTCCTTCGAGACCTTTAAGTACTCGATTCGAGGAGACACCTGCTGAGCTCTGCTTTGAGACAAGTCACCATAATTCCAACATACTTTGTCTCAACGGGCATCGTTAGCGTTAGTGAACAACACGCTCAGCGAATCCATGGGACTCTCTGGGGACGACTAGAAGCAGAGGCATACCGAACGGGCCTCACGTTGGGCGCCATTTTAATGTGGGTTTCTTTACGGAGGTCCCTCTACTAATAATAGCCGCCCGATCGGTATGCGCTCCGCCCGTCACCCAGAGAGTGACATACAGCAACGAGAAGACAGCGAATGGGTTAACTGTACCTCTCGGTTGCCCGTCGTCGAGAGCCGGTAGTCCCGGCCCGCCGACCCTTGTTGTCGCCCGTCGATCAGAGCTCACAGTCGGGGTCCGTGTCCAGGCCTGCGGATCGCCTTTCCCACGCCAGCGCTGCGTAGGCTGGCTGTCCCGGGCTATCAATGCCCGAGTCTCGCTGCGGAACCACCCCGGGATCGTCATAGCCCAGGTCATATGGCCCGGGCTCGCCGTTTCCACCGGTCTTGCTCCAGACCTCGCTGGTGGACCGCTCCGGGGTTCGTTATGGGCCAGGCTAGGCAGCCCCGGCTCCGTCGTTCTTTGTCCAGCTTCCAGCCTCGCTCAGCACACTCTGTCTCGTGCCAGCACGTGTCTTCTCCGCCGGCCGCCTGTCACGTGTTCTCTGCCTCGTCGTTCACTCTCGGCTCCCACACGTATCGTCATTGTCAAACACTTTCATTCAGTGTTAAAGTGCATTCATTCAAGTCAATATTTTGCCCTAATTTTAATTATTGACGTTTGGTTTGCGGCACAACCACAAGAGCAAACCTTTGAGAGAAGTACTGTGTATATGCCGGAAATAAAAGGTTTTCAGAATCATTCATAATTTTGGTTATGATTTTCATACAGAGGCTCTTTTTTGAAAGGTAAAACTAATGAGGAGTTGATCTTTTTATAACTTTAGATGATTTATGCACTAAAAAGTGGCAGGCAGATAAAGCATGTGATTGTCTTACTTACTTTTCGACGCTGAAGGAAAACATAACACATTACTCACTCCCCTGGCTGAACCGTCAATAGTTATCGGTTAGAAAATTACAAAACAACTCGACCTAAGCCTTCAAAAGTTTAAAATCTCTCTCTCAAATTTACTTGATAACTCAACCACGTCTGACATAGATATAGTAAGTTACCGACCAAAAGAATTTCAATTATATTAATCATCCAGCAAATAATGCAGTTGCTCCGAGATTTCTTACGTTAGTATAATCATTCTTGACATCGCTTTAATTGTATAAAACGTTTTTGTGTTCTACCGGTGTTTGTTGGAATTATTTTGTATAGGCATTAATGAACTTAGAGTGCGACTTTTATCAAGTTGTTTATGCAGCCCGTGAAACTGCCCATAGATTTTTAGTACCCGGCCCCCGACATCGATGACTGAAAAATGAAAAAAAAAATATTCTTATCGTCATCATAACTCGGAAACTAGCAGAGGAATTTCTTTATTATTTCACCTAGGGGCTAAACCGTCCCCTGAAGTTTATACGTATATTCCACGTCGCTCCAACTTGTGCATATCCGTGTTTTGGGGACTATGGATGGCGCTCAAGATTCTAATAAAATTGGGTTGATGCATTCCAAGATTCGATAGCGTCCGTTCTTTGGCAAAAAAAAATTTTTTTTTCATTTTATATGAAGTGAAGCCTTGGTGAAGATTTGAGCCGAGAAAGCAAATATGAAAGTGCTAACCTGACGCTTCTCTCGTTAGGAATTTTTTTTTTTTTTTCTATTTTCACGTTTTCTAAATTTCTTCTTTTTTTTTTTCGTCGTCCTTTTTTTGGGGGGGTTTTCGTCTTTCTAGTTTCATTTTTTTTAAGATGTTCTAAGAGAGTCTTCAAAAGAATTTCATTTAAATACGGCTCGTTTTTGCCTGTCTGTGTTCCTTGCGAGCGGGGCACATCATTAACCCGATCGTCGGGTTTTCCTGGAATGATAAGGTTTCTATAGTGCCTTGAAGAAGCGTCAATCTTTAGAATATTCTCTTGAAAAAAATTATCAAGATCGGAACAAAAAATATCGCGTTTATTTTCAGGTCTGCTTATATTCGTATCAGAAAGTTTAAAATGGATTTTTTTACCTCCTTCTTTCTTATTTTTACTAACAAAATTAATATCGCTCAAATTGCAAGGTTTTTTTTGTTTGTTTTTTTTTTTTTGCTCGCTGTATTTTTTTTTTTTTTTTTTTTTTTTTTTTTTTTCAAGCGTCTCCTGGTTCGGCTTTCAGGAAACACTGCGGCATTCATAAGATGTACGGCGCAGGGTGCCGTCGTTCATTCGAGTTTAGATGTCGACAGGAACGTGAAGCTGTGGGACAAAAGCTTGTTACAACAGTGGGATTTATAATGCTTAATTAACAAAAGCTAAGCTCGCAACTAATATATAAACATTTTTTCCCGAGAAAATGGTTGATCGATTTTTAAAATTGACTATTTTCTCTGCCTGTCCGAGGTCACAAAAAACATTATAACGTACGCAGCCAGCAGTCGTTGCCGTATTACTGTGTTGTCCAGGAAGGCGCCACAAGAACGTTGGAGATCTCTACCAATCGTCGTTCTCCAAATGAAGAGTGTGGGAAGCATAAGCTATCCCCACGTACAAGTCGCACTCAATATTATCGCGTTATTTACTAAGGCAGTGCTTATGTACGAAATTGCTTTAAATATTTAATGCTGGCAGTTAGAAACCCGAAATAATTAAAGTAGCGTGTATTCGACGCTTATACTTTACATCGGCGAGTGACGGGCTTTGTGATATTCATCCACCAGTTTTCGCGATTTTGTGACCAGAATTCGAAACTGGACGTAGAAAGGGCGCCGCAAGTTCTGCTCGCCACTTGGCGTCGCACAAATCACTTAAATTAGTTTAAATGGTGATAATATGACTGCCGTCAAAACTGCAATACATAACGACCAGTAAACTCCTTGGGTAAAAAATTAACGTTTTCGGGCAAAACTGTGCAGCTTATATCGCGTCTATTATCTGTCGTTTTAACGTCCACCGAGCCCGATAAATGCACATCTAAGTGGGCATCCACATAACTGTCACCCTTAAAAAAAATGGAAATGTTATTTTTAAAAACAAATACTCCGAATACATCAGCCACAGGTTTGACTCGCGAAGATTTGAATCAAGGCCTAATGTCAACTCGAATGTACGCCGCAGTCACTCTGCTCATAAAATCGAACAAAAGACACGGCGCTCTCTGGGGGCATGATGACCGAGTCACCTGCGGACATGCCTTAAGCATCTTCGAACTAAGCGGGTTTGCTTTATCCATATATGTATAACGCAAACCCGCTTAATTCGAAGTTCAAAGCGTACATATATTATGTGTGCTTTGAACTTTGAATTAAGCGGGTTTGCTTCATACATGCTTCGGACGTGTCTGTAGGCAGTTTTTGTACGACCGATCTGACCGTCATACATGGAACAAACTCAGCGGGTGTTTGCAGACTGTCTTTTGTGTGGTGTATTGGCAGTGGGACCGCGTTTGTTAAGAAGAAACGGAATACAACTGGTTTCGAGGAGCGGTTTCGTAAGCGTCCTCGGATACGCACGTTCCGTGACGGATATAGTTGCCATCCTTATGTAAAGCCGTAGACGCGACGGGTCTGCGCGACAGGCTTCTATTGGAAGGGCAGTCTCCGCGAGTACAATTCTCCGGGGGATCAGCCGAGAGCCGCGCGGTATGGAGTGGTTGTGGACATTGCGCGCTCGCTTTGCCACGGCGCAGGACATCGACTTGGAGGGCTTCCAGGCGTTCATGGATACCTACCTGGAGATGGACACTCCTCGGGACCTGGTCAAGCATCTGTTTCTGTCGTTTGTCCGCAAGCCTGCTCCCAGTCGCCCGCCAATCGCCGACGGACGGCTCCTCAAGGTAGGCCTGGCCCGGCCGCCGCGCAGCCGGCCGCCAACGGACACAGTTTTGTGTTGCGATATTCAAACGACATAAGGACGATTGAAAACGAGGTATAAAAAATTGTAAGAAAGAAATTTTTGCGCAAAAAAAATAGAAAAGAAAAAACGCGCCGAAAACAAAATCCCCTTCATCGAGTTGAGAAGGTCGCACAAGGGCTCAGCTCTCAGGGGAGCATTTCAATGTGGTATAGAAATTGAAGTTTGCATGTAAATATGAAACAACGAATGATTGTGTGTACGTTTCCGTCGTGTAAATAACGTTTAAAGTGGTTTAAAAAGGGCTCAGAAACACTCAATTTTATTGGAGAACAAATTCTACTGAGGTTGTCAGTTGCTCTCGCTTTAGGTAGCGAATGTGGTAAAATTAGCATTGTGATGTATGCCAGAAACAGGTTATTAACCTTGTGATGACAATCAAACAGACGCGTCCTCAGTTAACAATCACACAGGATCTCGGTTTGTTTTTCGCACTTGTGCGCCTTTCTCCTATCCTACTGTATTTTGTTAATTATGCATGCGGTGCACCCTACCTACATTTTAGTAGCCTCTTTTGTGAAGGCGTTCAATCGTCGTAACATTTTACTTTAGTGAGAAGTTTTTAGTAAGCTGTCGCACTCTTGTTACTTTAAATCCAGATTGGGTTGTATCTGTCCTCCGGCGGGTGATTGTTACATTTGTAGTGAGATAGACGGCTAAATAGGGTTCAGAAAGCGGTTAATTTTGGTATATTTTGGTATATGCTACCACAATATTTTGTGGTAGCATTTTAGTTTTGAGGTTTGCTTAAAAGTCCTTCGCACCTTATTGATGTTTCAGTTTTGTTTATTTTAATAACTGTTGCCCCGTAAAGCATTAAAGACGGATCACCGATTGCTTCTATACTTTCTAATATCTGACTTCTAGTAGACATTATCATAACGGCCCGTTATCTTAGAATATAAATAAGCAGTCAATTTGAGACACAGAAAGGTATTATGAATTGTTTCACGAACGTGCGTCTTAAACTATATGTATAGATATTATAATGTGTATCGCAGTGGTCCCGAGGTCCGCACCCTGCATTTCTTGTCTGGTATTTATCGCGTACGAGTGTGCATCTTTCACTTTCCTATTGGAGCACTTTCCTCTTGACCTCTTTCTCTGTTGTCAACACTTGGGTGTCGTAAGCAGCATGATATCACACCCCACTAGCACCACCGTTCACCGCACCGATGTGCGTACCGTCACCGAGCTTTGCGAAATGGTATCCACTCTTCATATTCCCAGTTAACTCTCTACCAGTTGGTTGTTCCACGGAGCTCGATAATAAAGTGAAGGAGGAAACTTTCAAATATATGTGTTTGAAGCACCCACAGTAAAATTAAGAAAATAAAATATTCCCGCGCGTCAACTTTCCCACATAACACGCGAGGGTGTATTTCATGGATTACAGTAGGTAGCTGAGCTAATGACAAAGCATGAGGGAAAAAAGTCTTAGATTAGTAGACTTTGAGCTGCACTGGGCACTACCTCCTAAGTAAGAAAGCCTTAGAGCTGAATATTCTTGCTCCACTAAGGGAAGCCACCGACGGGCTCAGATTGGTCACGACTGCTGCATTAGCCTTCGGCTGGGGCTCGTGTTCTCACTGATTGGACACGAGTTCCAGCCGAACGCTGACGAGAATTTGTTACCAACCAGTGCCCCACAACGGGCCTTTTTTGCTGACGCAAGAAAATTTACCACGAAGACCTTCTTATATAGAGTGTCCCAAACGAACCTTCCGCGGAAAAATCGGCGCCCGCGCATAGAAAGCTCACATTTTCACAGAATGCGCACTGATCAGGTCAGTTTTACCGTGTGAACTTTCAAGGCGCAGTTCTCTTCCTGTAAAAAGAAATGAGAGCAAAAGCTTCGGAATTGGACGCGTTCGCAGACGACTGAGTGAGCGACGTTATTTACTTGTGGCGCCATCTCCCGATAAGCGCAGCGAGCAGACGACGCACTCAGTTGTCTGCCCGCTACGCCTATTGGTAGATGGCGCCACAAGTAAATAGCGTCGCTAACTTGGTCGTCTGCGAAGGCGTTCAAACTTGACTTTGCCAATTTGTTTGCTTTCGTCTTTCACGGGAAAATAATTGTGTCTTAAAACTTCAAACTTTGAAACTGACCTTCTCAGTGCACATTCGATGGAAGTTCGAACTTTCTATGTGCGGCCGTTAAATATTTTCCGCATTTGTTTTAGCGAAATGTCCGCTCGGGACACCCTATATATATAGGTAGTCGCCGACAGCTTAAAAACTATGGGCGTGTCAAGCTCAGCGCATCTCATTATCGCAGCGCAGCCAATATGATTGGGTCATAGAGCGATAAGAAAGCTAAAGAGCGAATCAGAATACAAGAAGCATGAACATGATAACCCACACCCTGCGCTTCTTAAGCTGTCAGTGAGTGTAGGATACGTTGCACTGGGACTCTTTCTTATATCACAACGATTAGGCGCTCGTGCGTTGTGTGTGGAAGAAGACGGGCGGGCCTCTTTCGTAATCAATGATAGCTCAAGACCGACGAGGCGTGGCAATTTCCGATTGTGTGATTATCAATTAGCACCCAATGGGAGAACAACACCGCCCAACGCCAACAGTTGGGAACCAATCGTTAAGCAACTCCGTCATAACCGAGCCACGCCGTGTCGTACTTCAGCTATCAATAAGCAAACACTGTGCCGAATGGAGCGGGTGCCACTTCGTATCAAGTGATCATTGTGCGTACAGTACCCCGAAGCACTGGAAAGCACAATATTGTCGTTGTTAGTGTTCAAAGAAAGGCAAAAGAAAGGAGCTGGAAAATACTAGGAAGCTCGAAGAGCGTATTACCTCGCTTTTCTCACTTTGAAAGAAAACTGCTATGCACCGACTCGTGTCTCTGGAGTTACACCGAGGCTTTTCGTGCTGGGTGTTCAACCACGCATGCGCAGATGCTCCGCTCTTTGAATAGCGGGTTTCTGCGCAAGCGCAGTGCCCGCAGCTTTATGAGTCCAAACGCGCCTTTTCGTACACACTGAGCTGGTGCATAGACCTGCCGTGCCATTGCGTGTACAGCAGGACGCTATCAAGTCATTTGCCCTGAATTGCGAGGGTGGTGTGGTCATCTTTCCGGTGCTTTTGGGCAAAGTGTTTCTGCGCTGTGCTTTCGCACTGGCCTGCTTTGCTTGCTCGCTGCTCGCTGCATCGTCGTATAAGAACGCCAAAACGCTTGCCTGCCTGCTCGCTTGATCTGCACGAAGAAATCGTTGCGAGACACGCCCACCTGAATGACATTTCGCTCTACGCAGTGCACCGCACCTTTCACCGTCAGCCACGCGAGGCTGACCTTCGGAGTCGATGGACGATATGGTGGGAGGGACGGGCGGGCGTGCGATTTAGAGAGGTGGAGTTACAGTCTTGAGGCTGTTGCCAAGATGCTATCTCGGGTGTATTGTGACACTGCGGTGTCAGTGGATAAAACAGAAACAAGCAATAAAATGTGAATTAGGAGGCGCACTGGGGTGGCACTTGGCCGTGATTCTATATCTGTTGTTCGTTCTATACGCTGCTTTAGCGTGGAAATTGATCGCGCTTTCAGTAAAACGTTGACACTACGGCTTTCACTCAGTTCGAAGTGCTCATATGCGATCACTTTATTAGCGCCAGTTAAAATGAATTGCAATTGATGCTGTCACGGTTGCCAGTTAACACACCTTATTCCGACCTTTGCCTTGTCCGCGACGTCACTGCAGCCTATCCTTACTCTAAGGGAACACAACGGTTGTCTAGTCCAAAATGTTGTTTTTATGTCGCTTACATGCATCTGCCCGACGCCCGTGTTTGTTGCGACGTTTTTCTACCAGAACTGAAATTTAGAATGGTTCATACTCAATGAATACGCCATTTTTACTCCCCGGGGAAATAAATCTCCGTCGTGGGTTAACGTGTCGTTTTATTGTGTTCATTTTACGAAGCAACGACCGGAACAAGATCACACGCTTTATTTTCGAGATAAACGCATCCTTAGGTTGCCTCACATCTAAGAGATATTCTCCTTTGTCCTCGTAGATGTCTGATGAGCTCCTCCTGGACTATTTATTGGCTGGGTATTCGAGTCAACGTCGCTAAATTGTTTAACGTCCATCGCGATAGTTTGTTTTGTTTTGTTTTTGGTTTTCCGGGGAGTGTTATCCGGGTACTGACACCCAAGGCAGAATGACAAAAACCACAGCCAGCTTCCTGTGTTTTCGTCAAGGCCGCTTCAACTTCACAACATCTCCTACGACATGTGTTCGCATCTACATCTAAGCACGATTCAACCGTGACTACTAATACATTTTATTCACGTCGCGTCTCCAACACAATATCGAAATTACCATCTACCTATATATATAGTAACCTGGCAAAGTGGTTTTGATTTGTATAACTTCCAAAATTGATCGTGACTTATTAAACCCGCAGCGTCGCCAACTGGGTAGCAATTTTTTTTTTACACTTGTTTAACGGTTAATAACTCAGTGCTCGCACGGGGACGTACGGTCCTCCTCGCAATTAAATGCATCATCCCCAAAGTATTTCCTCCCTTTCGCGTGTTTCCATTATACTTTCAGCTAGCGATACGCCTTGTGGACAACAAACTTGTTCCAAGTCATGCTTCTAGAGTCAGGCTTCGCAGAGTAAAGTTCGTTGTGCGGTGATCTGGTCGCTTCTGTGATGAGACTCGCTATTACAAGAAATCCGTTGAGTATAGTGCAGCAACTACATGCGACCACGACTGTAAAACGCTGCAGCATAACCAGCGCGAAGTCGGTGTCAGCACTCGATGGCACTGCGCTCAAGCTCATGCGCAAGTTTGTTTTTGTGTCCGAAATGAAAACATTCCGCCTTATGCAGAGGTCCGCTTATGGGTGACGTTGGAGTCTGCGTTAACAACATCCGAAGACATGTCGAGCGATC